CACACCCTAGTCTGTGGAAGTGAGCGGCCCAAAGAAACATTCTTGCACAAAGTCACACCGCCATCCTGTGGCTGGCAGAGGTTCCGTTTCTTTCTTTGACACTTTCTGGCTTTCCCTCCTTTATCTTTAAAACCATCTCCACCCTTAGGACTGGCTGAGGACGAGCTCTGGGATACTTCTTCATCTGTCAACCCTACTTTTCCATCAGAGGGAGGTCAAGTCCCCACCATGACACCTGCTGTGGCCATGGACGAAGGTGTCCTTGGTATGGAATCTAAGCTTCTCATTTCCAAGAGAGAAAAGCTGAGGCTAGGAGGTGGGAGTGGGGACAAGAGGGGAACACGAAGGTTTGTAGTTGCTGGTCTTGATCGTGGCCACCACCAATACCCCCTATTTTGCCTTTACTATGTTCCCCAGGGATGCAGCAGACTCTGGGAGTGTTTATACTTACGAGTCCTAAGGCAAAGAAAGCAGCACGGTGGAAAGTGGAGGGAATTACTTACTGTTATCAAGAAGTTCGATTTTTCAGGGTGATGTGTGTGGGCGATAACTGCTTTTGTAAGAACCCCACAGTGTAGTGACAGCGATCCCGTGTGACATCTAAAGACGGGGGCTCTGGGAGATTTGGGCCCTCAGTCACAAGGGTAGAAAATGGCAGAGCTGTGTGACTCAGGTTGAGGTTCTGTGATTTCAAAACCATCTGAGAGCAGGAATAGGGGTCCAGGACCTCTGAGAGCAACTCAGGTTCCCACAATCAACTCAGGTAGGCAGATCTAGGTGATCCAACTTCAGGGCAGTGTTCAACCGCGCTTTGCTGAGTGTCTACCTGGATCCTCCAGCTTAACCCCCTTACTCCTTTGCCTACCCAGAAAAGCAGGGCTCCTGCCCCAGCGTGGACTTCCCCAAGCTCGGCATCTGTGAGGACCAGTGCCAGGTGGATAGCCAGTGTCCTGGCAGCATGAAATGCTGCCGCAACGGCTGTGGGAAGATGACTTGTGCCACACCCAAACTCTGAGGTAGGTGGGAGCAGGAGAGCCGGTTCAGAGATGCCCAAGTATGGGGTCCTTCCTTACAGCAAGTTGCAAAGGAAGACCTCGGAAAACACAGTGCTAATCAATCTGTCCATATCTTCAGCTTCATCATCTCATCTACAGTGCGTGGATGCTGTGTGAACAAACGAATCAGACACAGAGGCTGGGGGATGGGTTTTCCTGTTAGTGTGCAAGGAAAGAGATAAACAAGCTGATTTTGTAGTATGTCACAGGGAGGTACATGGCAGGGGACAAAGAGAACAGGAGGGAAGTGTTCTTGGGGGAGGAGAGACAAGGGGCATTACTGTAACTTTTACACGATACAGTGGGTGAAGATCTCACCAAGGAGGTGTGAAACGAGAGAAGGGACACGAGTGTGTCCAGGCAGAGGTAGCAGCAATATGAAGGCTGCTGCGCACCGCGCCCCTGTGTCTGCGCTTGGTGCGCTATTACCCAGTTCGCGAGCTTCGGGCAAGGGTCTGGAGGTTAAAATACACAGAGAGACAGCAACATGGGTCATCCTTGAATTCCCCAAGAATGCCCCCTTTATTGTGTTCAGGGGCAGATTATATAGAGATAGCCACGCCCTAGCCAAACCCACCGGAAACCACTCTCCTGCCATCAGGAACTCCTGAAGGTCTTGTGCTCAGAGCAGCTGTAGGCACTCAGATCAGGGGAAAACAAGAAATTCAGGATCTGGGGTCTCATTGCTCCCAACAGAAGGCAAAAACATCGCTGGGGCATTTAAGGAAGAACCCGAAGGCTGGGTAGAAATAAGAAGGAAGGCCAAAAGGTCTGGGACAGACAATCTGAGGGCCTTAGAGGCCATTGTCTTGACCCGGAGGTGTGTCTTCAGAGAGAGACTTGCCCTGATATTTTGAAAGGGCTCTCCTGTATTATGCCATGATGTGGCTAGAACGCTGAGGGCAGGAAAAGATTCAGACTCACCCATGAATGGACACGGCAGATAAGCCTGACCAGGAGGGAGGCAGGGGGACAGAAGTGGCCAGTTCACTTCATGAAGAAGAATGGTGTGTTTGCTGATGTGTGATGAACTTCCCTTTTGTTTCGCAGGAACTTTGGTAAGTCAGGAACGAACTGGAAAGAGGTAGCTGTATCCTAGGGGAGAGGATGATGTTGGGGGTGGGCTGGGGAAGAGTGAATGGCCAGTGGGGTTGAGAGGGTATTTCTCTGCACCGTGAGTGGGACACAGAGGAGATGATCTCTGTTTACTCCAAAGGCTCCTCTCTGTGGGCAAAGGCAGCTGAGGTCACCAACTTCGGTTGCATTTATCAGTTGTGTCTGAGATGGGTTAAGCATTTACTCTGAGCAAGCCAGGACTAAATTCAGTACCTTTAGTGCTTTGGGCCCCGAAAGGAGAAGTTTGGGGAGTCACTTCCCTTTGTATATGACTAAAAACAAAATACTATTCAGAGGTGACTCAGCGGAGAGCGGAGAACACTTGGTTTCTGGTGATGACCAGCTATAACCCCAGTTCCAGGGGCTCTGATGCCCTCTTCTGGCATCCAAGGGCATTGCACATACAAGGTACACATTGATACATGCAGAACACACACACACACACACACCTAACACAAAACACCAATATAGCATCATGTCACACAGTAAGTGTTAAAAGGGGAGAAACTGAGACAGAGACTTGGTTGGCCTGTTTGAGGTTCTGGGACAGAAAGGAGACCACTCCCTCCAGCTTGCAGTGCAGTGACCAAGACGGAAGAATTGATGACACAGCGTGCATTACTCAGTGATCACTGCAGTGGGAAACAGATGAGGAAATGCCACCCAGGCTGGAGGGAGGAAGGATGGAGTAGGAGCAGTTGGAGAATGCTTCCCAGGGGCTGACCTTGAGGTGGCACAAAAGGATGAGGCCGTGATTCATGGTTTGGTGAGATGCAGGTTGGGATACTGTTCAAGGCAGAGGAAGCATGGGGAGCAAGAACTTGGACAAGCCATTGGGTGCAATCCCAGATCGCTGGGGGGAATCCATTAGTATACACAGAGATAACCAAAGCCAGAGACGGGGAATGTGCCCAGTGTCTTTTCAGAAGTTAGGAGGGAGCTGTGGTCTTCCTAGGACCCTGAACTGTGCTACGATGCCAGTGTTCTCCTTGGATGTCACCTGCATGGTGGGCGTTGCAAGCAGGAAGACCAGGTTCAGATTTCTGCTCTGACCCTTACCTAGCTTCTTCTGCTCCTCGACCACAGTCATTTTCCTTACAGACTGGGGATAAATGTCATCTATTCGGCCAGTTCAGCTCAAGTCGATCTAAGGAATGAAGGCATGGTGGGACTTTTTGGTGGTAGAAGGAAGATTCGAGGGAGATAAATGTTTCTGGGTCTCCAGAGAGGCCACAGTGGTCAACTGGGATCATGGCTCACCCAAGGAGGTCCTGGAACAAGTGTGATTTGAAGTATAAGAGATGGGTCTAGAACCTGCTGGAAGATGCAGCAGAGCTCCCGAGAAGGCAGTGCACTGCTGTGTGTGAAGAAGGAAAGAGGAAGCTAGGTCAGGATTTAAACTGCTGACACTTGTGTTTACTGTGACAGATGTTAGTGGTGATGATGTCATGGTTTTCTTCCTTCAGCCGCAGTCACCACCAGCCTGAGGAATGGGACGAGAGTGCCTCTGCCTGGCCGCGCCTCTGGCGTCATTCCCGGGGCCTCCCTTCTCTCCGGTCTTTGTGTCTTCCTGGGCCTGTAAAAGTATCTCCCTTTTCTAACCAATAAAGAGCTCCCTTTTAGCAATGGAGACGCCATAACACCTGCTCTCTCCACTCTGCCTGTTTCCCCTGACTTGGTTTAGGTTGGTGGGAGAGTATGGGACAACTGGGTCATCCAGGCTCAAAATCCAGGGAAAGACTAGTTCTGAAGCCGTGAACAACGATTCGGGTATGTCTCCGGGGTGCTAGCACTTCTCTGTTGACTCCGTGCACCAATCCTGTGAGGTTCCTTATTCTCCAAGGATCCTGGAGCCAACACGGCCTCTTAGGGGTGGAGGAACACCTCGGAAATCACTCACATTCACCCCGGGGTGTGTTGCGCGTCTCTCTGCCAGACAGTGCTGGGAGACATGCTGAGTGAGGGAGGCTTCCTGGCTGCTCGGAGTCCTCGGAGAAGTTCGTGAAGGTCGGGGTGGGGTGGGGGGGGTCTGCTGAACAGGCCGTCAGTAAACGGCACAAGCCTGAGGGCCTGGATTCAGATCCCAGCACCCATTTATAAAAGGTCAAGTGCAACCTTATGCCTTCACCCTACCACTGGGGTGGGGATGAGGTCGGAGACAGGTTAATTCCCGGATCTTTCTGGACAGCCAGTCTAGCTAAACGCCAAGCATCAAGTTCAGAAAGAGACAACTTGCGGGAATTGGCTCTCTCCTTCCACCATGTGGGTTCCGGGAATCGTATTCAGGTGGTCAGGCTTGGTGGCAAGCACCCCTACCCACTGAGCCATCTCTCTGCCCTCCCCCTACCCGCGTGGTTTAAAAGAAGCCCTTGCCTAGCTTTGTGTCTCATCTCACCTTGAAATGACAGATCGGACAGGCTCATCTTCCTCCTCTCCTTTCAGAGAGTAATAATTGTTGCTTAAGGAAAACCAGAGGACCTAGGGCCAGGGCTTGTCTGTCCTCTTCCCACATGACAGAAAGACATGACTTAGCTTTAGCAGGAGATAAAAACTTGCTATTTTTAAAATCAAAATTAATTAATTTTAAATTTAAAATTAAAAGTGGCCTTAAAAGCTTCAGGTTTTTTTTTTTTTTTCTCCTCTCCATTCACTATTTATTCCTGTTTCTGCTTAGTGTGGCGCTCGGTACAAACGTCTCTTACATCATGGGTCATTTCCTTAGCCCAGTATAGGCCCTTTTAGTTCCAACTCTGAGTCTTTATCGTCAGGTGGGTGGAACAGCAATCCATACTAAGTTTTGAGTGGCACTTCTAAATTTTCCCAATGGACTTGTATTTTACAAGGAAAGATTTTTAAGCAGGATGCCAACATTTGTGCAGTTTCTGAGACAGAATTGACTTTAGGGAAATATATTTAGAGGAATGCATTTTTTTTTTATTCACACACAAAAAGCCTTAGGGGATCCCATAGGGAGCTTGACTTCATGGAGAGCTGTACAGGCTTGATAAATCAGGAACGTCTGCAGGCTAAGCGGCACTGATTTCTGGTCAGAAAGTTGTTTTCGTTGCCTCCACAGCCTCCGTAGCTAAACCGCTCACACTTGCCGGATTTGATGTTATAGTGCCATCGCAGTTGCATGGTTTGACACTCACCCCTTTCCATAGGGAGTTTGCATAGCTCTGGGAAGGGCTTTCTGAATACTTGAAGAAGAAGAGTGGTTAAGGGGGCTGACTCCATCACCGCCCCTTTGCTACTCTCCCTCTGCTGGGGGCTTCCATGGCCACAAGGTGCAGGGCTGAGGCCGTCCATGACAGCCCCACCTCTTCCCACCCCAACTTCTCCATCTCAACAGAAGCCAAGGTTTGCACTTCTGCAAGCACTGAAACCTCCCTTGCAAGCCCTGCCACCCACGACTGCACGAGGCTGTAGAGACGTCACGTCTCCAGCTGGTTGTCTGCGACGCCAAGGAGCTGAGCCCTGGATCTCCTTCGCCCCCCCCCCCTCAGATTTGATTTGCTGTGGTCAGACCCTGCAGGTTTCTGCCTTCTATCTCACAGTCTGTTCCAGAATGGACAGACTGCAGGGAAAGGGGGAGCCTTGAATCTGAGAGCAGGGTTTCAAGTCTGACACAGTCGTTTGCTAGCTGATAACCCTGTATGCAGGACCTGTCTCTTCTACATTGAGTTTCTTGACCATAAGGTGGACTGTAAGGTTCACATCTTGGGGCTAATTGAGAGGTTAAAGAGAACTAATGAGGGCTGGGGGTGGAAGTGAAACACACGTTTAATCCCAGCATTCAGGAGAGGCAGAGGCAGGGGGATCTCTATGGGTTGGAGGCCAGCCTGGTCTACATAGAGAGCTCCAGGCCAGGCAGAGCTGTATAAGGAGACCCATCTCAAGAAAATACAGCAACAAAAATACAAAACCAAACAAAAAAAAAGGCAATAAGAAGCATTGAGAAGTCTAACAACTAAAAAAACAAACAAAAACCAATCACTGGATAATGGTGAACTGCCCCTAAGCATCCTCTTCTTCCTAAGCTAGAAGACCTAGCAACACAAACCTCACGTACTAACTCTGTAGCCCTAGTTCCCGGTGCAGGAATGCCTCTGAGGTCTCAGCGAACACCCAACAAAGCCACAGTAACCATGAGCTCCTCGTGCTACAAGTTTCTTTGTATTTTTTACTATGTGAGATATGTTTTGCAATTACTGTTTTATATGTGCATTCACGTGTGTAGGGGGGTATATGTGTGTATGGGTACATGTGTGTGTGTGTGTGTGTTCATATGTGTTGTGGAGGCCAAAGGACAACTTAGGTGTTGTTTTATGGGTATTTTTTTTTGAGTCATAGTTCCTCACTAGGCTGGGGTTCACCGAATAGGCAAGGCTGGCTGGGCAGTGAGCACTCTGCCTCCCGAGCTCTGGGATCACAGCATGCCCTGCAACTGACCCCCTCCTTTCCTTTTCTTTTGATGTAGGTGTTGGAGATCAAATGCAGGTCTTTAGGCTTTCAAGGAGAATGCTTTACAGAAAGATTTGTCTTCTCAGTCTCTGTAATTACCCTTCCTAGTAACTTTGGGGTGAGTGGAAGATGCAGAGGGCCTTGTGTGTGCCAGGTCACGCTAACCTGCCTCTCTGGTCACTCTAACTATCATGGCTTACCATGCTACATGAAGAAACTACAGTCAAAGAGATGGGGCATCTGTTCTAATGCCAGGAAGTGGGAGAATCAAGACACAAAGCCAACACGATCCAGGTTCTTAACCTGTCTCCTTTACCGTAGGGTAAAGGGGTGGATGAACACTTTGGGTGGAATTTGGCAGCAGCCTAAGCAGGGGAGAGGTTCAGGTTCTCTATGTCTATGCCTTGTAAGGCTGGTGCTAGGTACAAGAACAAAATAGTTATCCAGTCAAGATGGAAATGAATTGGGGAGGCGGGGCAAGTTGGCATGTTTGCATAGCGTGTGACATCCTGGTCACAGTAGTGTCCTCCTTGACCCCAGGTGACTCAAGAGGAGGTGGAGTCCCCCTTGTTTTAAAATGTTCCTAGTCTGCTTTCCCTCTTCACTGGTTCTGTTAAAACCAAGAAGAAATCACTTTATTTATTTTTGTGTGTAATAGAGGTGATCCCCCTTCTCTCTCTCTCTCTCTCTCTCTCTCTCTCTCTCTCTCTCTTTCTCTATGTGTGTGTGTGTGTGTGTGTATGTGTGTGAATAAGACACAACCATTGTTCTTACCTTCTAGAGGAAAAAAAACCCTGACATTCTGAGAGACCAGACAACATCCTTGAGGCATAGATTTTTGTAGGTAGTAGGACCAGCACCTGACCCCTGATGCTACTGACTTGCGGGGGGGGGGGGCCCAGGGCTCCTACATGCTAACTGTTTCCCCCACTGAGCTATATTCCAGCTCTGAATGTTTGTAAAGGGAATCGTCCTATTCACAAGAAGGTCTGAATACATCACATCCGTGCCCCTCCCCCCATCCACCTGCTGACTTTAAACCACAGCAGAGACAGTGGCCCAGGAAAGAGCCTGACCCTGTCAGGAGAACACATCGAAGTTGAGCATATACCTCCCCTTCTTGGTCTCGCTTTGGCCATCACAAGCCCAAACTTTCCTCTTCCAATGGCTCCTTCACTGTCTGTTATGCTATGACATATGCCGTGTGTCTTCTCCCCCTCGTCCTCGCCCCCCTCCAGTGTCTTTGGCTGGTGGCTGTAACTCCAGCTCCTAGGATGGTGCCTGGCACACAGCAAATACCTGACTGCGTCTGCCAGACCTGAACTGGCTCCCTGTCCTGCTGGTTGAGAAACAGACTCTGTCCTGCGGGTCCCTACTCGGTTCCTGGTCTACGCTGAGGCCCCCATTTCATACCAACCTTTACTTGGTTCTGAGCAAAGCTCTTGGCAGAAGGCGAGGATCAGGAAAACCGAGAAGGAGGCCTGGAGCCGCATGGTGTCTGCCGGCAGTGGCGCAGTCTGGAGCTGTCTTACTCAGGGAGAGAAGAGCCTAGGAGGAGGAGCTGACTCTGTGTCCTGCTCGCTAACCCCTAACTGCTGCCGGGCGCGCGCCAGGGCTGGCTGCTACCCGAACAGAGAGTCCCGGCAAACACAGCCTCTCTCTCCTCCAGGACTTATCTGATCTGAACTCCGAAGCCGATGTGCTACCCTGTCGGTCCTGAAGCTTCAACAGGAATGGGGCCGCAGTTACTACCAGCGGTGTGCCTTCGCATTTCCAGGCACCACACAAAATACACGGCACACACTGCTTGTCCCTGATGTTTACACAGGACCTGACTTGGGGTCCTGACATCCAAGCTGGGCGGCTCACATTTCCTGTAACTCCGGCTCCAAGAGAATCCAATGCGTGTGGCCTCAGTGGGCACCTATACACTGTGAACGACCCCCTCCGCATACACATACGTCATCAAAAGGAAAATAAATCCTCGGAAAGGACAAGCCCGAGTTTCTCTGACGTCCTGTCCAACATATGGTCTCTTCTTTTCAAATGTACTCCTGCCGTAATGCCATCAGTCACCCCGTGACACAGCTGAGTGGGGGGGGGGGTGGTGAAAGTCAAGCCTATGGGACCGGATTTTCAGTTTCCAATCATCTATCTATCTGTCTGTCTGTCTGTCTATTTATTATGTATACAGTGTTCTGCTTACAGGCCAGAAGAGGGCACCACCAAATCTCATTATGGGTGGTTGCTGGGAATTGAACTCAGGACTCTGAGCCAGTGGTCTTAACCACCAAACCACCTCTCCAGTCTGCCTCTCCACCCCCAGTTTCCAATTTTTTTTTTTTGATTAAGTAAACCCCCTTTTAAAATAAGCCATCCAGTCTCAGGCATTTTGTTATAGCAACAGAAAATACACAGAAGCACTCCGTTTCGCAAGAAGATTCAACTGCTAAGCTTCAGAGCCATAACTGTGTCGGCCCCAGTGATTTGTGCCACTGTTAAAGAGACATTTCTCAAGTCTCTTTCGTTGTGTTGAGCCTACTGCCAGGTGCTGCCTCCATCACACCTGGTGCCCCAGGGAGTTATGGGAACAACACGCACTTGGTCAGAAGTCAGAACCTGTCATCTGGGTGGAGAAGAAGCAGATTCAGTGGATTTAAGAAGAATCTCAAAAGTTCAGTATAAAATCAAGCTGTAGTTTGTGTTTGCCAACCCAGTACTTAGAGGCAGGAGGGTTACAAGTTCAAGGTCACCCTTGGCTAAATAGTGAGTTCAAGGCCGGCCTGGGTCATATGAAACCCTGTCTAAAAGAAAAAAAATAGAAAATGAAAAAGAATGAAAGTTTGCTTTTTAAAATCAATATATCCTTTTGTTAAAAAAGGATTGTTTTATTTATTTTCTTTTTGTTTGTTTGTTTTTGTTTTGCTTTCTTTTCTTTTTTTTTTTCTGACAGGATTTCTCTGTGTAGTCCTGGCTGTCCTGGAACTCACTCCACTCTGTAGATTAGGCTGGCCTTGAGCTCAAAGATCTGCTTGCCCCTGCCTCCAAAGTGTCAAAGGCGTGTGCCACCTCCTGGCTTATTTTTAATTATGTGTGTATGCATGTGTTGAGGGGTGTGTTCCTATGAGTATGGGTGCTTGTGGAAGCTAGAAGCATTGGTCCTCCTGAGCTGGAGTTCCAGGTGGTTGTGAGCCTCCAACATGGGGGCTGGGAATCAAACTCCGGTCCTGCATACGGGCTCTTAATTGCTGAGTCCCTCTTCAGCTCCTAAATTTGTGTGTTCTTTCAGGAAAAATGCCTTTTAAGGTCTTTACTCATTTTTCCTTTCCTTTCCTTCCCTTCTTAATTTTTCTGTTCCTTGTTCCTTTTGTTTTGTGGTATGGAGGACTGAGCTCAGGGGCTTAGAAACTCTACCACCTAAGTTGTTTTCTCAGCCCCATCTTTTGCCAACTTTCTTACTGTATTAGTTGTGTGTTATTGACTTCTAGGAGTTATTAATATCCAATAATAGTTATTGCTGATAGGTGTTATTGTCTTTATTTATTTGTTTTGGGGTAGGGTCTCACTATGTAAACCAGGCTAGCCCAGACCCTCTGAGTACTGTGATCAAAAGCCTGTGCCGCTATGCCCGCCTGACTATTGTCTTTATTATTTGTTTTTATTTATTTACTTGTTTGAGGCAGGGTCTTTTTGTGTGGCCTTGGCTGGCCTAGAACTTGCTCTGTAGACCAGGCTGTCCTCCAACTCATAGAGATCTGCCTGCCTCTGCCTCCTGAGTACTGGGATTAAAGGCATGTGCCACCGCCACCCAACCTTGGTTCAGAAATGCATTTATTTTGAGTGGGAGGTTCAAAGAAATAGGCAATTCTCCTTAGATTTGAATCAAGTAGATCCCAGGTGGTCAGACTTCTGACATCTCCAAGTCTTCTTAGCACTGGATTAGAAATAACACTAATTGTGTGTTCATTTCACCTAATAAGGTGAAATGTCTATCTAATTGACATAGACAATAAAGAGGAAACCAGTGGCAAAAGGAAGAAAAATTGGGCATATTGCAAATACAGCGACTTTCTAGATAGCATTTAACAAGCAAGGCAGATATGAAGGCTGGGTCTTCCGAGCAAAATTAACAGGAAGAATCAGGCATGGGCTAACGTATGACTGTGATGAATTAAGAGGGATGTGCTCTGCATTTGATAAAACTTACCAAGAACATGATATTAGCATGGGGTGTGGCAGTCTGTCTCCAGTTTGAGCTACATAGTGAGACTCATTAAAAAAAAAAAAGTCAAACCATAGCAGTATCTGAGATGGGAGAGTCTGAGGGATCGCCTGTATTGCTTGCCCATTTCCTCCTGGCTGCAAGGGAGGCTGGGAGAATAAATATGCTTATTCTGTACCTACTGTCTCCCAACAACAAACCCATGCTCTCTATGTATCGGGAATGGGACTCTCCAGACTACGTGTCCCTTCACTGACTTCTGGCATCCTCCAAATCTGTTTTTTTTTTTAACTTATTTATTTATTTTTGACTTGTTTATGTATACAACATTCTGCCTCCATGTATGCCCATATGCCAGAGGAGGGCGCCAGATCTCATCACAGATGGTTGTGAGCCACCATGTGGTTGCTGGGAATTGAACTCAGGACCTCTGGAAGAGCAGCCAGTGCTCTTAACCACTGAGCCATCTCTCCAGCCCCCCAAATCTGTTTTTTTTTCTTTTTTATTTCCCCTTAGATACCATCTCGAGGTGGCCATGCCTTTCCACCCAAAAACCATTAGAACCCTTAAAGGTCTGAATCCAGCCACAGCACATTCTAGAAGATAGAGGCCAGGTACACACATCCCGCTTGTTCTTCCACAAGGATCAGCTCCAGTTTCACCTGGCTTCCTTCCATGAACTCAGAGATTCTTCCAATCAAATGATCCCCATGCTTACAAATCTAGAAGCAACAATGCCTCAGTTTCCCTCTCTTCCTCCTACTCTCCAACACTCATGCAACTATAAACCCCATGTTTCAAGTGCCCACTTTTGTTCCTGGGTTTTTGTTTATTTGCTATGTGTGTGTTGTATGTGTGCCACACACACTTTGCTCCCGCCTGCATGCCCTGGTACACGCCTGGAGGCCAGAGAATAACCTTGAGAGCTGGTCCTCGCATTCCACCTTATTTGAGACAGGGATTCTTGACATTCACTGCTGTGGACAGCAGTCTAGCTGGCCTACACACTTCCAGGAATTCTCCCGTTTCTGCCTCCCTTCTCTTTCTAGGAGCGCTGGGGATTTCAGACAAGCGCCATTGTGCCTGGCTTTATTCCATATGTGTACATTCTGGGGATTCTAAGAGAGCTATCGATGTCTCCCGGCCCTGCTGTTTCTGTGTTCTTTACTGGATCTTGATTAATAAAGATTGAGAGTCTGGATTTCTCAGTCCTAACAGAAATGGTGGTTTTCATTCCAAGCAAGATTCTTCAACTCCAGGAAAGAGAGGTAGATGCCAAATATTAAATTCAAAGTAACAAATAGTCCCTAAAGGCACCTGTATTTTTTGTTTTATTTTGTTTTCCAAGACAGAGCTTCTCTGTGTGACAGCTCTGGCACCATCATGCCCAGCCCTAGCCACTCTTTAGGTCTAAGTTTTAGCTCATTTTGTTATGACGTACATGTGGGGTCTTGGACAAGTTCATTTTTATTAGAACTTTCCATTTGTACACATGTAGATACAAAAGGAGTGGTTTGGTTAGCCTGTTTCCAAATTACCCAAGCTCCCTTATACATTTCCACTTCTAGAGGCAGATACAAGGGGAGCGTCAGGAGAGAGAGACGAGGGGTCCTGCACCCTGCAAACAACCAATGGTTGCTTCCCTGAGGGCCGTTCAGCTCCACTGAGGTCCTTCGGTGCAGGGGTTCTCTGAGCACAGCCCTGAAAACTGCATGTTCATTCCTGAGCAGAACTGGGAACAGATCTTATCACCACAGGGCACACACTAGCCATTTCTAAGGTTCTCATTGGTGCAGGGGCAGGAACAATTCGTTCCAGTCACTCACGTATGGCAAACCCAAGCAGGACTGAAGGATGTAAGATTGAGTCACAGGTGCTTATCGAATCTGGCAGGATTCCTTCAATGCCATGTTTTCCCAGAAGTGGAAAGTACTGTCCGATACCATCAATCACTGACCTTCCTGTTACGGAAGGGAAATGCCCTGGGAGGGGACTCCCTCCACCCTGCTCTGTCCCAGTTAGGGTATACACAAGGATGCATTAGGGTGTTGCTATGGGCAACAATGAGGTTTAAATTTGGGCCTTATTCTTTTTTTTTTTTTTCTGTTGTAATGCTTTTGTTTTGTGGAATGTATAGATGGTTGGCGCAAATGAACTTTTCTTTTTGGGCTACTAGCTCACAAAAAATGACACAGAGACTTATTAATTATGAAAGCTCAGTCTTAGCTTAGGCGTGTCCCATTAGCTCTTATGACTGAAACTAACCCATGTTTTTTAGTCTACACTCTCCCACACCTGCCTTTCCTCATCTCTGTTATGCCCGTCTTGGTGGTTCCCTGTCTGGCTGGTGACTCCGCCTTTTCCCCCCAGAGCTCTCTTTGTCCAGAAGTCCCACCTATACTTCCTGCCTCACTATTGGGTGTTTAGCTTTTTATTAAACCAATCCCAATGACACACCTTCCTACAGTATAAAGGGATATTCCACAACAGGTTGGATATAGTCTGGGCATTTTGGCTGTATGAAATCTTTTTATTTATGAACTTAAGATATTCTTCATATATCTATGTTTGGTTTTTTAATTCTCCTCATCAATAATTCATGGATTTTGGTGGATACATCTTTTACCCTTTTGATGATTTGAAGAACTTTGGTTTTTTTTTTCCTTTTTTTTTATTTTATTGAGAATAAGGAAAAAAAAAAGTATCCGCCTCCTCCCAGCCTCCCATTTCCC